TTCGTTTTTACAAAATAATGAATCATAACAAATTTCCCCTTCAAGTGAACAAACACCCTTATAATGGGATTAACCACAAGAGAGGGACAGCCTCAGCTTTTTTCTCTTGCAGTAGGAATGGCCTTGTCTGAGCCAGAAACCCCCTGCTCTGCTCTCCCACATGATAAGGGAGGTGAACCGCGGTCAGGTCCCACACATGATTGACTTTGGTCTCCTTGCCATGGGGGCTGCCATTGCTGGAGACATTGCATTGGGCCGAGTCCAAGTGCACTCACCACCCAGGCAACTGACAGCCAGGTCAGCAGATGTCACTGGGTCCTTTTTCCCTGGCCCCATTCCTAGCACCCAATGAACATCCCATTTGGAGTCAGAAAACAAATTAAATAAGAGCCAGCAAATAGGAAGATGGTTCAGAGTTGCGCCTGGGAAAGAATTAGAAAAGGCAGTCACGGATTGCTCAACTCAAAGAGTGAGTTAGGAGCAAAGGGAGAGGAGATTCAGGTTTTGCCAGTTGTTAAATATGCAAAGAATTTTATGGGATGTTACTAGCTTTAGGGTTGCCAAATTAACATCTGGAAATTTCCTGTTAGGATTATAACAAAGACTATTTTTCTCAAGAAGCTTCAGGGAGCTTGTGGAGTAGCCATCAGCTGTGGAGGTCACACAGTCTTGTTGGCTTCAGAAAACAGAATCTTGAGTCAGCGTCTGGCTGGACCCGGCTCCCTGAATGGAACGCTCCTCTCCCACCACCTTGAGCATTGTCCTTTCCTCAGCCTCTGATTGTTACAACTGCTCACTGACAGAACCCCAGAATCAGCACCTGCAGGAGGGAGCCAGATGCCTTTCCCCAGAGTTGTATCTCCTTACAGGCAGGCCCCTTCCTCTATATTCACTCCAGCACCAGCCAAGAAAGGAGCCCCATGACTGCATGGGAATTGTGGTTAGAAGTAATAGAGAGAACACAAAATGTGGATATGTGTAGGAGAGAAATGAGACACAGGTGGCTATTAAAAATAAAATGTTATGGCCCTCCCTGGTGGTGCAGCAGGTTAAAGCGCAGCACTAAGAAACTAAAGCCACTTCCACATGAGTTTTATCCCCAGTTCTGAAGGTGACCACATGGCACGGCGGACCTCTCCTGACCTGTCCGCTGTTCGCCTCAGCAGTGTACTTCATCAGTCAGCCTGTTCTGTTCCCTCTGTCTCGGGTGAATCCTCTCACCACCTCTGCACCTCTGGCCTGCACCCCAGTTCTGTATGCATAAATAAATAAATCTTTAAAAAAATAAAATATTATAAAACTACAGATGAGTATTTATTCATGATTCCTGGAATTCTACACCCTTGGCTCTGAGACACAAGCATATAACACAGTTCTGAAATATAAATAGGCTTTTTGAAGGCTTCTGGGTTGAATTTCACCTTTCTTCTAAAACAGTCGACACTTATACTGACCTGCTCTTTTTTGCACTTTAAAAACAGATTAACTATTGCTGCAGACTTGTGGAGAAACTAGCGGAAATTTGGTTTCGTGGAATAAAATTTTACTGATAGTAATTCCAACAGGATAATATATGTGAAAATTATTTTTAAAGTATGATGCACTGGGAAGAGGAGCGATGGCATCTTTTGATATTATTAATATGATCCATTTCAATCACTTTGAGAAGGGAGTGGAAATGGTGAAGTAAAAAGGCTGGGAGTTAGGTTGGTGTTATCAAGTAATGAAGCTGTGAGAAGTGGGATTTGGAAATGATGTGGTGATGGTCACTTAGGAGAGAAGGTGCGCTCCAGTGTTGTGATAAAGAGGGAGAAAAGAAGAATCTGGTTTGGCATGATGACAAGATGGGGGGAGGAGACACGAGGCAGTTTGATATGTATGGTAGAGGTGGAGGGGAGCAAGAGGAAGTCAAGATTGGAGATGGTGAGATGGACTTGATAGAAGAAAAGTGGGGGAGGAGCCGCCCTGGTGGCTCAGGGGGTTAAGTCTCAGCGCTGTGAAGCTAGGGCGCAGCCACTGCAGCACCAGTTCAATCCCTAATCCCCGCCAGGGAGCTGCCCCACATGGTGCAGCAGACCTCACGGATCTTGCCCCTGCTCCCCTCAGCAGGATATTTCAGTAGATCTGCCTTTCTGTTCCCCACGCTGTCTCTGGTGAATCCTCTCACCCTCTACACCTCTCAACTACACCCTAGCACCTGTAAGCATAAATAAATAAAATAAATATTTAAAAAAAAAAAAAAGAGTTCTTTCCAGACAGCACCGAGCTCTGGACAACTAGCACAAACACAAGACCAGGGGCAAAAGAAGCCCTACACAAGAAGTG